GTCCAATAACAGCAAGGAAGGACGGTAAACAGCCGAACCAAATATTATCGGCAGTAGTCCAACATAATACCGTAAAGAGAAGAGGAAAGAAAAAAAGGTTAGAAGAAAGCAAAAAAAAAAAAAAAAAGGGAATCAGAAAGAAAACATAGAGGAAAGGGAGACTAGAAGAGTCACGGATCCAGGGCTAGCACAGGCAGCAATTATAAGGGGTCATAACTAGTAAGGGGCAGGGATGGCAAGGAATATCATATCCAAGGTTCCCAAACCTTAAGAAATCTTGGATGAGAATCATGAAGAATGCTAGACATCTGTTCATTGATCAGCATATCATTCATTCGGGTCTTCACTCCTTGGAAGACCACTGAAGGGGTTCTCCAAGCTTGAGCTATGGCGCGTTTGGCAGAAATAAATAGGTAGGATGCCAGTTTCTGCTGAGATCTAGACAGACCCAGAATTGGGCAATGGTAAGTGATATTTTAATACAGAATCCCTGGAATCCCTGGAGAGAGAGAGAAAACAGGTGGCGCACACACCTAGTTCATTATCCAAGGTTTATTGTAGGAATGAAATAAAAACATACTCACAGACGAAGCATGTATCTAAAATGCATAGAAAAATGACAATGGCCACAACGGCGGGCAAGGTGTTCTCACTGTCAGTGCAGTCAAATGGCTGATGCGTTTTGGGACGAATCCCTTTCCTCAGAGCTGATGACCAACCTCGGATGCTGATGTATGATGTATGGAAAGAAAGAGCCTCGCTGTTGATGCCTTCTATGGATCTCTTACCTGTCCCGCCCGTGCGGTTGGAGGGTGGACATGGGCTTTTAAATGCACTCTCTGATCAGAGGGAACCAATAGGGTTTCTTTATTTAAAGCCCAACTCCATGAAACATAAAAATCTCCCCATGCAGTGGGGCTGCCCCTGCACCTACACAAGGCCCACGGACCGAATTCGACTCTCCAGGCCATTTCATGTAGGCCTCGCACCTTCCCTGCAGCTGTGAAACCTCACCTGTCTCCACACCCACCTTGTTTTAGCAGCAGAGAGGACAGAGATCCTCCTACAGATCCTGCACTTTTCTGTGCATTCACAGCACCCCCAATCAATGGATCGACTTTTGTGTACAAACAGCCTGTCCATATGTGGATCAAAATTTGGCCAGTCCCTGCTGAACCGGTCGAATTTCAATCCATGATGGCCAGCTTTACTGAATTGCCTCCGTGTGCAAACTCTTCTCCATCTGCAAACATAATATACACACTTCTTATATACACTCACCAGCCACTTTATTAGGTACACCTTGCTAGTACCGGGTTGGACCCCCTTTTGCCTTCAGGACTGCCCTAATTCTTTGTGGCATAGACTCAACAAGGTGTTGGAAACATTCCTCTGAGATTTTAGTCCATATTGACAAGATAGCATCACGCAGTTGCTGCAGATTTGTCGGCTGCACATCCATGATGCAAATTTTCTGTTCCACCACATCCCAAAGGTGCTCTATTGGATTGAGATCTGGTGACTGTGGAGGCCATTGGAGTGCAGTGAACTTATTGCAGGGGTGTGGAAATTTTTGAAAAAGCTACTTGTCAAGGACTAAATCGGTGCCCTAATCTACTTGTCCCTCATGATGATCTATTTGTCCAGATAAAAAAAAAAAAAAAAAAAAATGTATCCAAAACCGTATTCAAATCGGAGGTGATTTTAGGAATGTCTGGGGGTTTTAAAAACAAAAGGGACTTTATGGCGACTTAAACGTTTAATATTTTTACCATTGCGCTGTTTATTTCCTCCTCCCCACCCTTCCTGTCTCCAGCCCTGTACCCAGGGACTACAAGGAGGGGAAAGACCTTGCAGTGTAATGAGCACTGATAGGCTGCTCTTCAGCAAAGGGTGGGTCAGCTTATACTTTATCCCTTTCGCTGCCAGAGCCGGTTTTGTGTTTTTTGCACACGTTTAAAAAATCATTTTAGGCCTGAAGATTACATAAAACCCCCAAACATTATATATTTTCTGAAAGCAGAGACTCTAGATAATAAAATAATGGTAGTTCCAATTTTTTATGTTGCATGATTTCACCACAAAAGTTTAGTAAAAACAAGTAAGTACATTTTATGGCACAAAAAAGCAATAATTGACACAATTTTTTTGTAAAATGTAAAAAATTAGGTTGCATCGAGTAAATAGATATCCAACTTGTCAAACCTTAAATTTGTGCGCACTCATGAAATGGTGACGAACTTCAGTACCATATATTTTCTATAAATCTACACTTTTAAAGCTTCTTATAGGTCACCAGTTTAGTGTTACGGAGAAGGTCTGGTGCAAGAATTATTGCTCACTCTGGCATGCACGGTGATAATGTGACGTGTATCGCAATCAACGGTTTCATGTGTAGGTACCCCAACGTGTGCTTTTATGTTTGTACGTGCATATATGCGGGGGTATCAATTTTTTTTTAGGGGGGGGGATGGTATGTGCCTGGGTGTAACTTTAATTTTTTACAATTAAAAAAAAAACTTTTTTTTTTTCATCACATAGGGGACAAAGTCCCGTATGTGATGATTGTTGGTGACAGGTTCTCTTTGAGACATCCAAAGTCCAAAAGACCCTGCATGTCTCCCCTCTGCTCCACTGAATGTAATGCAGTGCACATCGCACTGCATCACATTCTTTCCCGGGCATTGCATTACAATCTCTCAATGGGGAATTGTCCGCTCTTCTCCCTTCCCTCTAGCCAACGGCGAGCCAGGCCCGCAGATGGGCAAGCAGAACCCGGGAAACCTCACGGGGGGGGGGGGGGGGAAAGAGGCTGGCACTGTGTGGAAGCAATCGGTGGCACCTTCAGCTGTGCCCGCTGCTTGCCCACAGCAGGGCTAAAGGTAGAAAAAAAAAAAACCTACCTGCCCGGCGCCCGGAACTGCATGACCCGGGAGTTGGGCGACAGGAATCGAACATCCCTGTTATTGTCATGTTCAAGAAACCAATTTGAGCTGATTTGAGCTTTGTGACATGGTGCATTATCCTGCTGGAAGTAGCCATCAGAAGATGGGGACACTGTAATCATAAAGGGATGGACATTGTCAGCAACAATACTAGGTAGGCCGTGGCATTTAAATGATGTTCAAATGGTACCAAGGGGCCCAAAGTGTGCCAAAAGATTATCCCCCACACTGTTACAACACCACCACCAACCTGAACCATAGATACAAGGCAGGATGGATCCATGCTTTCATGTTGTTTACACCAAATTCTGACCCTACCATCTGAATGTTGCAGCTGAAATTGAGATCAGGCAACGTTTTTCTAATCTTCTATTGTCCAATTTTGGTGAGCCTGTGCAAATTGTAGCCTTCGTTTCCTGTTCTTAGCTGACAGGAGTGGCTCCCAATGTGGTCTTCTGCTACTGTAGCCCATCTGCTTCAAGGTTTGACGTGTTGTCTGTTTAGATATGGTATTCTGCATACCTTGGTTGTAACAAGTGGTTATTTGAGTTACTGTTGACTTTCTACCATCTCAAACCAGTCTGCTCATTCTCCTCTGACCTCTCACATCAACAAGGCATTTTCTTCCACACAACTTCTGCTCACTGGATATTTTCTCTTTTTCGGACCATTCTCTGTAAATTCTAAAGATGGCTGTGCATGAAAATCCCAGTAGATAATCAGTTTTTGAAATACTCAACAACCATGCCACGTTCAAAGTCACTTAAATCCCTTTTCTTACCCATTCTGATGCTTGGTTTGACCTTCAGCAAGTCCTCTTCACCACGTCTAGATGTCTAATTGCATTGAGTTGCTGCCATGTGATTAGCTGATTAGTTCTTTGTGTTACCAAGCAATTGAACAGGTGTATCTAATAAAGAGGCCAGTGTTTACCTTCAAAAAAACTCTAAACCTTTGCCATTCTTGAGATAATCCTGTCTATTTTCATCTCTAAAAAAAAAAAAAAAAAAAAAAAAACAAAACCTCCTCCTACCTTGGCTCAGTTGCTGTGAGCATGCGTAAGACTGGAAGATGTCTGTCTAAAGGTGGAAGCAGGGTTCAGAGTAAAGGGAAAAAATATTCAAAATGGAGCTAGCTTTAGCAGACGCAGGGCATATAAACAGACTACACCACCAAACCCAATATAAAATAAAAGTGTAAAGAGTCTTTTGTAAAGATATGGTAAAGTTTGAAAATGGTGTTATGACTTTATCTGGTGGTGGACTGCAGGGTTTCATTCTGCTTTACCAGTTTATCACAAAAACGCACTATGTATCCCCTAAATGTCACAATGTCAGCAACCATTGAACGGTGTATAGTGGGGGGTGCACTCTACGCCATTAAATAATGGTGCAACATTTAAGGCTGATACACACAGGCCGTATATTGGCTGGAATCAGCCGGTTCAACACAAACCAACCGACATTCGGACTGTGTGTACAGTAGCCTGTCCAACAGAAGCTTTTATCGAAGGGGCATGCTGGAAAAGCATCCAATCAGCTTTGGCAGCCCATGGCTATGAGCACTGATCTGTGTGTTCTGTCAGAACACAATAGCTCAGTGGGGGAGATTGCTGCACTAACATTGCTTAGTTAGTACAGCGACCTCTCAGGATTTTTTTTTTGTTCAGCCTGTGGGTTGAACAAAAAAAAAAAAAACTCCTCGGGTATACCCAGAAAGTGTTTTATAATAAGATTACATATAGTGAACATACTTCGAAAGTAAAAGCCCAAAAACACAAATTCTTGTTTTTTTTTTTTTTAAAACCATTTTAATTATTTTTTAACAAAAAACACATTCATATAAAAACACAACAGATTATAAAATACAAAAATCATAGTTGTCAGTATGGAAATCCATCACACAAATGTGTGTAGTACCTTGTAGACAAAAGGTGCCCGATTATAAGCTTTACCTCTACACACTGAGGTGTGCTTGTGCTTGGAAAAAAATGGGTTGGGAGTTCTTCTGGAGAATCTTGGAATGTCAGTGTGATAAGACCCATGAAAACAATCTCTAACATTCCACACCATACCGCTCAAAGTTTCTGTGTATGACCGTTAGTTCCAGGTGAACCTGCCCCATGCTTGTAGTCTGCAGACGGTAGCGGTCGGCACCTCCGTATATGAGGCTTGGAGATTTCAGATGAGGTCCCCCACCCACAAACATCTGGGAGATCTGCTCCTGCCAAGTGCCCAAGGGTCGCCAAGTGGGGGTCAGCAGAGAGTGAGTGCCAGGTGTGGAAGGGATATGAAGGAAGCCATAGCCATAGAGCTCATTCCTTCCAAAACTGTCTTGGTGCCAAACCTGGAGATGGAGCTTAGGCCAACCTGAGGAGAACGAATTACCAGTGTTATACATCACTACATTAAATCTGTTATATACACTGAAGGTTGACAAAGATGGAAGGATTCTATGAAACACAGAGACTGTGTCATTCCCCTTGCAGGGAGAAGGGAGCTGAGATGCTGGGAGGGGGGATTTACTAAAACTGGCGCACTTAGAATCTGGTGCAGCTGTGCATGGTAGCCAATCAACTTATAACTTTAGCTGGTTCAATTAAGCTTTCATTAAAACCTGGGAGCTGATTGGTTTCTATGCAGAGCTGCCCCAGATTTTGCACCGTGTAGTTTTAGTAAATAACCCCCATTGAGCCTCATTTACACCCCAGAGTTGCAGTGTGAAGGATGCTATGAAGATTAGATTATCCTTGTGTTCCTTCCACTGCATGGAGATAGAAGCTACTATAAAACATGGAGTCTGTCACTTACACCTCAGGGTAACACAGGGAGAAGGGAACTATAACAAATGAAGCCTGTTCCTTACGCCCCAAGATGACATAAGGAGAAGGGAGCTATAACGATCTGAGACTATCCATGTGTCCCTAGCACTGCAGGGAGAAGGAAGGAAGCTATGAGACATGGGGTCTGTCTCACACACTCCAGGATGACACAGAGAGAAGGGAGCTATGAAACACTGAGCCTGTCTCTTACACCCTAAGGTGGCACAGGAAGAAGGAAGCCTAGACACAGGGAGGAAGGAGCTGACACACTGACCCTGTCCCTTACACCCTAGGGCAGCCTTTCTCAACTGGGGTTCCATGGAAGGCTGGGGTTCCACCACAGGCTGATGGAGGTCCTTGAGCAATAAGCAGTTTCTGCCTCTTTGATAAATAACCACTGACTACAAGGATCTTGTTAGTTGTCTATAACAGAGGCCTGACCACAAATGTAGCAAGCACTCATCCTATTGACCTTCCTTGTAATGTACCATGAAGTATAGGCATGGTAGTTAGTATGGGTTCTGAGACCAGAAAGATATTTCACGTTAAAACATTGAGGTAGGTTGCCGTAGGGCGACACAGGGAGAAAGGTGCTGAGACATGGAGCTTTGCTCTTACACGCCATGACAACAGAGAGAGAAGGGAGGAGAGGCATGCAGCTTGTCCCTTACACCCAATGGTGACACAGGAAGAAGGGAGCTGATACATGGTCCCGCCCCTTACACCCCATGGCGACACAGAGAGAATGGAGCCGATACATGGAGCCTGCCACTTACATCCCAAGGTGACACAGGGAGAAGGGAGCTGAGACATGGAGCCTGCCCCTTACACCCCTTGGGGACACAGGTAGAAATGAAGACATGAAGCCTGCCAGGTGACAAAGGAGAAGGGACATGATACATGGAGCCTGCCACTTACACCTCATGGTGACAAAAGGAGAAGGGACGTGATACATGGAGCCTGCCACTTACACCCCATGGCAACAAAGGGATAAGAGAGCCGATACATAGAGTCTGCCTTTTACATCTCATGGTGACACAGGGAGAAGGGAGCTGGGACATGGAGTCTGTCCCTCCTGGTGTATCTCTTACCTTGCAAGCCTTTGGTAGCAAAATGGATATCAATTGGGTGTGACCAAAATGCCATTTCTTCATTTTGAGGATTGTCCACCTGAGTTTGACCTTCTACCACACCAGACAGCAGTTTCCAGGCTCCACCTGAATTAAATACATAAAAAGGTATATAGTAGACTGACAGCTAATAGACACTTATAATTTTCAACTCTCTACAGATGAAGTCTGAGGACTCCTTCCAAAAGTGCCCTTCATAGCTAGAGGAGGCGGGGCAGAGCCGTGGCTCTGTGTGTGAATGGGAAATAGAAGCTCCGCAAGGGGACCTGAGAAGAGGAGGATCCGAGCTGCTCTGTGCAAAACCACTGCACAGAGCAGGTAAGTATTACATGGTTGTTATTAAACAAAAAAAAAAAAAAAAAGACACAAGACTTTAGTATTACTTTAAGTCCAATAAATGATTTTTTTGTTGATATCCACACAGATAGCTAAAGCCAACCATACATGGATCGAAATTTGGACGGTACAGTGGGGACTAGCCATATTTCAATACATGCATGGACCAGAAGATTGTACAGAAGTCTATCTACCAATTGACTTTTGTACAACCACCCTGTTGCATTTTCTCTATTCGATCAGTGCCGCAGGTTATGGTTAGCAGTGCTGATCAGTGTATTCTGACGGTGGGGAAACATTCCCCCTGTCAGAACACAATACCTCAGTGGAAAGGATTCCCCCATCCACTTCATATGTGTGGATGATGAACTTAAGTAATTTTTTTTTTTTTTTTTCATTTTTGTTCAACCAATTGGTTGAATGAAAAAAAAAAGACTCATCTATGGGCTAACTTAACCAATTGCTGGCATTCCAGTAGCACCACCTATGCATACTGTATGTTATACACTGCTGAGTTATAGAAGGGCAATTATAACAACAGAGTTACAGTATGGAAACAAAGTATTGGCAACAAAAGCCTAAGCTTACATTGAAAAAAAAAATTCAAAATCAGCCCAAGTGACATTACTTACTATCATTGTGATGTATCCCTTGTGCTGTTGTCTCCTGGTTTAGTTGAAATCTTTCGGCTCCGACTCCCCCCCTTACCTCATCCACTGTAATCTTCAGATGCGGCAGGGAGCGGACAGGCACTCATCAAGAGAGCAGACGGTGCCCCCCTTTTCACCCACCTCCGCCATTTACTGATAGACAGTTCAACTAAACCATGAGACAACAGCACAAGGGGCACATGACAACAATAGTAAGTAATGTCAATTGTACTGATTGCAATATACAACAGGAGATCAGATTTATACCTGTGTGTACACCCCATTTGCAAAACAGACTGTGCTGTGGGAAACCACTGGCCCCGATGATCTGTCCAATAATGTGCACCTCCGCCATCGCTGTGAAAAGATGAGGGGACATATCATTACCACTAAGGTCACATTCACACTGACAGTGACATGCGTTTATAGAACATTTACAATCACCTATAAATACATACAGTAACTTTTAAAGATATTTATCACGCTGTATATTTACTGGCTTTCCGGTGCAGTTTAGCTGCATTTAGCCCTCATGCAACTCTTCTAAAAGCCTTTCCCCTGCCAGGAGAAATCAGTATTAAAAATGCACATAAAGCCAAGATTTTGAGATGTGTTTAGACGTGGTCAGGTGCATGAAGTGTTTTGGCATTCATTCATTTCACTGGCCAGAACATTAATTTATTCTGGCCGTTGAAATGAATAAATGTGTCTAGCACTTTAGTGCATTTAGAAGCGTTTATGCGCATCAGACTTTTTTGCGGCAAAACGCTCCTCTCCCTAATGCACTGGACCTGTTTTTTTTTTTTCTGCCTCTAGAAATCTATGTGTGCAAGGACACACAGGCTAATACAAAGGGGTGTTTAGAAAGGGAAAAAAAAAAAACCCTTAACCACCTCCCGCCCACCATATAGTAATATGACGGACGCAAGGTGGTTCTCTCGTTCTGGGAGGATGTCATATGACGTCCTCCCATTCTCACCTCCCATGCGCGGCTCAGGGAGCGCGCAGCGCGGCGATCGGCGGTTCGCTGTGTCCCTCGGACACAAACGGATCACCTATCACGGGAAGAGCCGAAGATGTCGGCTCGGTCATGTGATCAGCTGTGTGTCCAATCACAGCTGATCACATGTAAACAGGGAAATGCGGGTTATCGGCATTTCTCTCCTCTCGAGCTGTCACGCTGACAGAGAGGAGAGCCGGTAATCGGCTTTCCGCGGAGGGGACATGTACACTTATCAGGGCACTGATGATCAGTGTGCCCTGATGATCAGTGTAGCCCCAGCAGCACCATTGTCCATCAGTGCCTTGTGTCAGTGCTCATCAGTGCCACATCAATGCCAATTATCAGTGCCCATCTGAGCTGCCTTTCAGTGTCACCTATCAGTGCCAGCAAGTGCCACCTATCAATGCCAATCAGTGCCGCCTATCAGTGCCAGTCAGCGCCGCCTATCAGTGCCAGTCAGCGCCGCCTATCAGTGCCAGTCAGCGCCGCCTATCAGTGCCATGTATCAGTGCTGCCTTTCAGTGCCCATCAGTGATGCCTGTCAATGCCCATCAGTGCCACCTACCAGTGCCTCCTCATCAGTGTCCATTAGTGCCACCTATCAGTGTCCATCAGTGCAGCCTATCAGTGCCCATCAGTGCAGCCTCATTAGCGCATATCAGAGGAGAAAAATCACTTATTTACAAAATTTTATAATAAAAACTAAGAAAAAAACTTTTTTTTTTCAAAATTTTCAGTGGTTTTTGGTTTGTTTAAGAAAAAATAAAAAACCCAGAGGTGATTAAATGCCACCAAAATAAAGCTCTGTCACAAAAAATTATAAAAATTTCATATGAGTACAGTGTTGCATGACCGCGCAATTGTCATTCAAAGTGCAACAGCGCTGAAAGCTGGAAATTGGCCTGGGCAGGAAGGGGGTATAAGTGCCCTGTAGGCTAGGGGATAAAAGTGGCATTTCTGATGCCTAGTGTGCATGAGATCTTAGAGACAACAGGATTCTATGAATCGGAGGGGGGGGGCAGATTAGATTAGATTTTCTGTCCATAGCTAATCAGCCACTTTGTATGTAACCATAGCACATAGCGTTATATAACGGCATAGAATGCTGCAAACCCCTAATCGCCCTTCCCTCGCTGTCATTGGCTCCCGAAGATGTCAATCACCAGGTCCTGGTCAGCGATTTATGGAAAAGACTCTGTGATCAGTGGAGCAGCTGAGAGGGGAGAGATCTGTGAGTTTAAAGCGATACTAAAGGATTACCTTTTATCTTTCTAAAAATAACAAACATGTAAATACTTACCTACTGTGTGTAGTGGTTTTGCACAGAGCAGCCTGGATCCTCCTCTTCTCGGGTGCCCCGCAGACACTCCTGGCCCCTCCTTCCTGTCAGGTGCCCCCACAGCAAGCAGCTTGCTATGGAGGCACCCGCAGCTCAGTGTGTCCATTCACACACGGAGGCAAGGCTCGGCCCTGCCTCCTCTCTCCTCATTGGCTCACTGGCTAGATTGACAGCAGTAGGAGCCAATGGCTCCCACTTTTGTCTCAGTCAATGGGGATGCCTGTCAATGCCCATCAGTGCCACCCGTGATAGCTGAGACTCCAGTGTACATCGCTGGATCGAGAGGGGACTTAGGTGAGTATTAGAGGGGCTGCTGCACAGAGAAGGATTTTTACCTTCATGCACAGAATACATGAATGTAAAAAACCTTGAGCCTTTACAAACACTTAAAACAACACAGATCTCTAGGGGACATGCTGCTTTTCATCTCTCTGCAAAGCACTTCCCCTAGTAAAACACAACATAGTACACTTTAATCACATTCCTTATCACACAGTTAACCCTTTGATCGCCCCAGATGTTACCCCTTCCTGCCCAGTGTCATTAGTACGGTGTCAGTGCTTTTTATTAGCACTGATCACTGTATTGATGTCAATGGGGATGTCAGTGGCAGTTAGTGTGTCAGAATGCCCTCTGCACTATCACAGTCTCACTATAAGTCACTGATTGCCACCATTACTGGTATAAAAACATAAATAAAAATTCCAGTATAAATACTGCCAATTGTAGATGCTATAACTTTCACACAAACCAATCAATATACACGTATTGGGATTTTTTTTTTTTATCAAAGACATGTAGCAGAATACATCTTGGGCTAAATTCATGAAGACATTTTTTCTTTTTTACTGGATATGTTTTATAGCAAAAAGTATAAAAATAAAATAATATAATTATATATATATATATATATTTTTTTTTTTTTTTTCTAACTTTCGGCCTTGTTTTATTTATAGCCAGTGATTATAAAATACCACCAAAAGAAAGCTCTATTCGGTTGAATAAAATGATATAAATGTCATTTGTGTACAGGGTGGCATGACCGCACAATTGTCAGTTAAAGTAGTGCAGCGTTGTATAGCAAAGACATAGCCTGGTCATGTAGGGGGGTAAAACTTCCATCCGGAGGGCAGGTGGTTAATGGCACCCCACGCAGGAAAATGATTGGCGCAAAAGGGCCACTGCAGGCAAACGCAACAGGCATTTCGGGTGACGCAAGGATTGCACTGACACCCGCTGCAGATCACAAGCACAGTGCAATTGAAATGCGGAGCGGGCAAAGCGCATGGATCACGGGATTAGCACTGATCACTGTATTGGTGTCACTGGGGATGTCAGTGACACCAAGTCAGTTCCCCCCCAGTGTCAGAATGCCCACCGCAGTCCCGCTATAAGTTGCTGATCAACGCCATTACTAGTATTACAAACAATAAATCTCAGTATATATATCACTATTTGTAAACGCTATAAACTTTCACGTAAACCAATTAATTTACACTCATTGGGATTTTTTTTTAGCAAAGACATGTAGCAGAATACATTTTGGCCTAAATTTATGACGAAATGTTGGTTTACATTTTTTTTACTGGACATGTTTTATAGCAAAAAGTAAAAAATATTGGGTTTTTTTTCCTCAAAATTGTCGGTATTTTTTGTTTATAGTGCAAAATATAAAAAACGCACAGGCGAACAAATACCACTGAAAGAAAGCTCTATTTGTGGGGGGAAAAATCACGTAAATTTAATATGGGTACAGCGTTGCATGACCGCGCAATTGTCAGTTAAAGTAGCGCAGCACCGTATCGCAAACAATGGCCTGGTCAGGAAGGGGGGTAAATCCTCAGGAGGGGGCAAGTGGTTAACACCCCAGTGTACATGAGTATTAACACTATGACGTTTTTAGACGTCTCCTGTACGAGAGGCCTGCAGTCATTGGAAGACCTTGGCTCGTCTAACCCGCCGCAGACCGGTATGGTATGACTGGGCCTCTATGACAGCTCCGCCAGTCATCATCCCTCCCCCTCCCGTACACCTACCCCGCTATCATACACAGCGCTCTCCTCTCCGGTACATAAGTCTACAGGCCGCTACTCCGCTCTCTCCGGGAGCTTCGGCAAGATTTCTGCGGTTGCTTGGCAACCTGAGAAGGCGCCCATCCTTACCAAAGCCAGTGCGGAAGTAGGCAATGGATGGGCAGCGGTCTCCAAGGAACCAGAGGAAGTGAGGTCAGGCAAGGAGTTCCTGTTATGAAGTGCATGCGGCCATGTTAAGTGAGGGCGTGTGACCTATGTATCTTATAGTTGTGTGAGGGCAGTTATTTAAAAGGAAAAAAAAGTAGAGGCTGTAAAATGCAGCAGCACGGAGATCATTCATGCAGTGTAAGACTTAGGAATTATAGCTCCCAGCTGCCCAATATTGCTCTTCCCCCTATTTCTTCTACATTGCTCACTATGTATGTCTGTAGAGCAGATAGAACAAATAAATGAACACTATTAATGCAATATAAACACATGGAAACGAAAATCTCCCACTCAGTCCAATAAACAGCGAAATGAAAGCAGCCATACTACAAAGTAAAAAATGGAAAAAAACTGCCAAAATTAATACGTATACAGATGCACTGCGCTATAAATAGAAAACACTGCTAAAATAAATACATATGTAGACTCACTGTGCTATAAATAGAAAACACTGCCAGAATAAATACATATACAAACGCACTGCACTATAAATGTAAAACTGGCAGAATAAATACATATACAAACACACCACGATATAAATGGAAAACACTGCGAAAATAAATACATATACAGACTCACCGTGCTATAAATAGAAAACACTTCCAGAATAAATATGTATACAGACACATCCTGCTATAAATAGAAAACACATCCAAAATAAATATGTATACAAATGCACTGCGCTATAGATGGAAAACACTGCGAAAATAAATACATAAATAGATTCACTGCACTATAAAAGAAAAAATGTATATACAGAAGCACCTCACTATAAATGGAAAACTGTCAGAATAAACACGTATACAGATGCACTGCACTATAAATGGAAAACTGCCAGAATAAAATATGTATACAGATGCATGGCACGATAAATGAAAAACTCTGCCAAAATAAATATGTATACAGATGCATGGCACGATAAATGAAAAACTCTGCCAAAATAAATATGTATACAGATGCATGGCACGATAAATGAAAAACTCTGCCAAAATAAATATGTATACAGACGCACCGTGCTATAAATAGAAAACATTGCCAAAATAAATAGGTATACAGATGCACTGCGCTATAAATGGAAAAAACTGCCACAATAAATACGTAAACAGATTCGCCACGCTATAAAAGGAAAACTTTGCCAGAATAAATACGTATAGAGATGCACCACGCTATAGATGGAAAACTCTGCCAAAATAAATACGTAAATAGATTCACCGCGCTATAAAAGAAAAAAATGTATATACAGAAGCACCTCACTATAAATGGAAAACTGTCAGAATAAAACACGTATACAGACGCACTGCACTATAAATGGAAAACTGCCAGAATAAATATGTATACAGATGCATGGCATGATAAATGAAAAACTGCCAGAATAAATATGTATACAGATGCATGGCACGATAAATGAAAAACTCTGCCAAAATAAATATGTATACAGACGCACACCGTGCTATAAAATAGAAAACATTGCCAAAATAAATAGGTATACAGATGCACTGCGCTATAAATGGAAAAAACTGCCACAATAAATACGTAAACAGATTCGCCACGCTATAAAAGGAAAACTTTGCCAGAATAAATACGTATAGAGATGCACCACGCTATAGATGGAAAACTCTGCCAAAATAAATACGTAAATAGATTCACCGCGCTATAAAAGAAAAAACTTTGCCAGAATAAATACGTTATACAGACGCGCCCCGCTATAAATGAAAAACTGCCAAAATAAATATGTATACAGATGCACCACGCTATAAATGGAAAAAACTGCCAAAATAAATATGTAAACAGATTCACCACGCTATAAATGGAAAACTTTGCCAGAATAAATATACATATAGAGATGCACCACGCTATAAATGGAAAACTGCCAGAATATATACGTATACAGATGCACTGCGCTATAAATGGAAAACTGCCAGAATAAATACG